CAGTTCCCTTGTGCATAGTCAGCCAGCTGACTGAAGTTGGCTTCAAAGAGGAGTTTACCTGGGATTTACAATCACTTTGTTTATGTGAGGTGAGCTTACAAAGATTGCCTTACTGGGCCCTGCAGGTCTTGAGGTGCGACAGGTGTCCTGTACCACTCTCCTTCTGAGTGCCCTTGCCAAAATCAGTTGTTTAAATGGCCATTTAGCCATTCATACTGCAGGAGGAATCCTCCCCGATCCCAGCTCCAGTTCTGCTTTCACTTCCTCCCCTCTTCCCCCACTCATTATCTCTGTCACTCTCTCTCTCTCTCTGGCTATCAACCAGTATCTCTCTCACTGTTGATGCAATGGGGCCCGGAGTAGATCCTTGTGGCAGCCATTTCAAAAGGTATGGGGGGGGGGGATGAATTCAACTCTCCCCAAGTTGTTTTACTTTTTCGACTTTTCTGCAGAACCACGGGGTCCCGAGTCCATAAAAATCCTGTTGGGGGAGAGTGTGCCCTGTTTGCAGAAATAAGTATCCACAGGCAGAGGGGACTGTTGAGAATCAGATGTATCAATATGATGCTAGGTTAGAACTCTGAGATCTTAGCACAAAGTCAGCAACAGAGAAACATACTTGGACAAAGAAGCAGAGATGATGTTCTCCTGAACTGTATTCAGGTGGGAAAGTTAACTGCAGTCAAGTTAAAATGTGCATTAACCCAATTTACACAGAAGCCTCGCTCCTCCCACCCTACAAAGAGCATAATGAAGGAATTCCCACGAGAAACTACTTCCAGCTACCCATGAATTTAGGCATTTGGTTTAATGAGGGTATGCCCCCCCACTACTAACTAGGATTCTAAGCAAGGATTAAATTCTGTGTTCATATACCACCAACATCCAGTGTTAAATACTAACTAGGATCCCTTCACTGTGTTCTGAGTCTGACAGGAGGAGGAAGGAGGTAGGTGCAAGGTGTGGTAGTGTGAGTTTGACACACTCATTTAATTGCTGTTGAATGCAGGCTTGGAAAGCTGCCTTCCTGGTAGAGTAAGAGCTATTATTCCATTTTTCTTCCTTATATTTGCCTCAACAACCATCCAGTCTGCTGAAGATTTCTGTGTAACATGAAAATCTACATGCTGAACTATGAGTACTAACTGTTCCAAAAAAATTGTATTTGAATTTCTTCAGATAGTGCCCTGATCACAGTTTTACTGCTCAAAGGACATACATCTGAAAATATAGCCAAGCAGTGTCAGCTTTCTATTTCTAGTTGATGAGATTTCTGTAATGTGCAAGCTTATTCTTTACAACTAAAAAATGACCCAACAACACACTTCACACTTACTTTGTACGGCTTTGGTGCCAATATACTTAGTTACTGCAATAAAATCCTACATGGAAAACTATGTTCTCACCCTTTAAGAAAAAATCTTAAATCACCTGAAACTATTTTAGCACTTAGCATATGCCTCAAAAGATAATTAAAAAAATAATAATAATCTAAGGCTGATTTTAAATAGTTTCTCTGAAGCATTCCATTTTTTAAAATAACATAAGGACTAAGTGATACACATAAAAAGTCCTATTCATGTGCATAACATGAATTACATAAACAGCACCAAAATAACCACGGATATTACCTAAAGGGGTGGAAGAAAAGAGGCTACAAAATAAATTGCAGTAATACAATAATATCATGCGCATTCATTCTTCTATTCACATACAGGCAGTAAAGACACTGAAGAACTATTTTAATCAGACTTCAGTTTGAAACGTCTTCTATTCCTGAAGATGGTAAATACTGAGGCTTCTGCGTCCATAAAATTATTTCTTCTTAATCTACACTACATAGTCTGCAGAGTGCCAGTTGGATGTAATTGTTAGAGTGCTGGAATAGGATCCGGCAATATGAGATTCATATTCCAATTATATCATGACAATTTCCTGGGTGACCTCAGGTCAGTCACAGTCTCAGCCTAACCTACCTCACAGGGTTGCTGTGAGGTTAAACTGGAGAAGAGAATAATGCAAGCCACTTTGGGTGCCCACTGAAGAAAGGTTGGTATAAATGAACTAAGAAATAAATGGTCATCTTTTAGATCCTATGTGGCTATAATATATCCAAAAATACATACAGAAAGAATAAGAGAAATAAGCAAATTTAAATTAATCCTTAAAGGAAGTAACTTAATATAAGAACGTGGACATATTAAGTAAAAAGTGTCAAAAAGATTTCATTTATCTCTACGTCAATTTGACCAAAAGATTTCACTGTGTTCATCATGTCTTTGTCAACTTCTGCTGAATTAGCCTTGTATTAAGGTTGAGGAAGTTGAAATGGGTCAAAGTACTTCCTTCCACCTACCCTACAAAGCAGGATCTTGTGTTTTGAAAATCAGGTCTCACAATATCATGGTCTGGCTTTATTGTGTCTAATTCATCTAGAGAACAGGATGGAGGGATCCCCCAGGGCTATTTCTGAATAGTCTGTGACTGCTTGGTCCTCCCTGTCTGCCTCTGTGGTTCTAGCTGAGACCGCAGGCCTCGCCTCTGTGGTTCTAGCTGAGACCGCAGGGTGACCAAAGGCCTCAGGTGCAGAGAGGAGAGGGGGTTAACCACACCTTGTTCCTCCTTGTCTCTTCCCATATCTCCCCTCTGCAGCCTGGAGAAGACCAAGAGCCTCTTCCCTAGCCTGCCATTTGGCCCCTTACATGGGCTAAATTGTGCACATGGCCCAACAGCCTTCCCTGACCTCCCACAGACATTCCCTGTTTGCCTAACAGGCTGGCTGGTCTGGCCCAGCTGCTGCTAGCAGCTCCATGAGAGGGTGCTACTCATATATGTGTGTGTGTATAGTGTGTGTTTGAGTGTGTGCGCGTGCATGTGTTTGTGTGCTTGACTAGAGGTCATGGTGACTTCTGGTGACCCCTACTGGGGGCTTGGGCATTTGTCAGAGAGGTGGCTTGATTAGCCTGCCTCTGTGTCCCACCTTTGGTATTCCTTGGAGGTCGCCCTTCCAAGTACTTGCCAGAGTTGGCCCTGCTTAGCTTCCGAGATCTGACAAGATTTGGGCTTGAGAGGAGGCTACTCTTTTATGTGTGCAAACTATGCATAGCCTGACCTGGAGATACTCGCCCTCTTGCTAGGGCAGCCACAGGAGTGATTGGCAGCCTGAAAGTGGGGGCTGGGGTCATGACCACCTGCTATGGCCTGGGTAAGTCCAGAAGGTCCAGCCTTAGACAAGTACATTTATATGCCAGTGCCGCTGCACTCAAGGTGTCTTACGATTCAAAACAACACCTATGTGATACGCATAACGCAAAAGGAAAAGAAGAAAGGGAAGAACAAGACAATCATTTTCAAGCACCAAATGTTAAATAAATGTGCATATGTAGATACCACTGTGCCAATTTGAGGAGTTACCTGCCCGGTTTTTAGGATTTCATTTCAGAGAAATTATCATCTAGCCCAACTAACTAATCAAAAGGTATTCTACCTTCTTCTGCTCCAAAATTTTCGCAGAAAGGCTTGCCTGTAATTTTCAGACCAGATTCTTTGACTGATACCAAGTTTTAACTAGATTCCATTTCATGAGCACTGATTGAAATCTGAACACAACTGAAAACCAAACAGAAGTGCAGGACCTCCATGTTCCAGGTCCAGCCACAAAATAGAGCACACTTTGTTATGAACCAGGAATTATTAAAAACAGCATTTATACCACAGGGGTTTGTTCCAGTGGTCAGAAATCAGGAGGGAAGGCCCTTGCTTTTAGCATTTTTCCACAAAGCCCAACTGTGTTACTAAGGAAAACCTTGCAGGAAGTGCTCATTTTGGGCCAACAGTGTGGTCACACAGACACCTTTGGATAACTTGAGTGTGATTTGGAAAGACCTCCATAGCAGAAAAAAGTACAGTATTTTTTTCCAATAACATCTCAAAGAAGCTGCTACTATAAACTGTACCTGGACATGTATTGCAGGCCCAGAAATATACTGCATGCAGGGCAGAAAACATATTTTTTGTATTCTCTAGCCTAAGGAAGAAGTAATTTTGACTAGAGTTGCATGAGGAACAACACTGTGTAAGTGTTAAGCTTTTCTAACGCAGTAACTCCGGCAGACTATTTGGGAGCCTAGTAGTCTATATAACCTTCACAATTTATACCAAGATTACACTATGTATCTTAAATTTTCTGATGTTATAAAAAGAAACCATTGTGAAACTAAGAGAACCTGTAAGTTAATATACTGTTGCCTCTGTTCTGAGCCTTATCCTTTATCCATAATGAGACTCACCTATTTGTGATACAGTCCTACTCTATATTTATTTAGCATAAACACTGATGGTTGTTGCAGCAAACATATGGCCTGTAATAAAATGCACCTGACTAGCTGCAACATTAAGCAGAATAAGAAAAAGGACACAAATGGCCCTCTATCCCAAGTGCATATTCACATCTGACTGAACTCTGTTAACAGGAATGCTGTTTTCCCAGTTGTCCAATTCACTCTTCCAGGACTCTTTTGTAGTCTGCTAAGACTACAAAACATCCAACAATATGGAATTCTATGCACAACCATCCTTTGCCTTGGCTTTTTCCGCTTTCTGTCTCCACAATTTACCACCCCCTGGGGGATGTTTCCTTCTCGCAGGCTTCCCTCTCTCTTTTTCTCCTTGCCTGCTGCTTTGCATGATGTATTTTAAACTTATTTAGCTCCGTCTACAAAAAAGCTGCTAGTTTGTTCTTAAAACCACATATACTATAAAAATCAATTTAAATTTAAAATAAAGGACAACCAGAAAAGCTAACAAAATGGACCATGAGAAATTTGGAATTTATGACCATGGCCACAAAATCAAAGACATATGGTTAGCCATTTTCAAGAAGTTAAAAATATATGACTGCATTCCTGAAAAAATTAAGGACAATAATTCTGCTGCCTTCAAAGTAATTAAGAACAAGATTATATTTTTCCAGTAAACATGGAGTACTTAATAGATCTTACCTTTAAATAGGAGCCGTAGTATTTTGTTACATAAGGGCTGTCACACTGACTTAACACAGTTATCTCCTGCTGAATGTCTTCTATTTCACCTTCTGCCTCCTCAAGGTCTATGATTTTAATTGCAACCACTTGCTGTGTCCGATTATCAATTCCTTTAAAAACCTCTCCAAACGAGCCTTTTCCAATGCGCTCTAGTTTTGTGAAGAGTTCCTCTGGGTCTGCTCTGTGGTTCTGTATGAAAAGGAAGGGGAATTAACACACACACACAAACAAGCAAAAAGCTTTCTGCCTTCCTTTTTTTTTTTTTTTTTTTGAAACTCAGGGCAAGTTCAAGATTTCAATTTCATGACAAAGGAAACAACATCAAAGGTGGGGGTATATACGCTGACACTGGGGGAAGGGTAATCTGAAATCCTGCTGTTTAAAAAGCCCCAAAATCTTTTAACTAGCATAAATCTGTATTTCATATCATAATTTGCTGACCATTACACATTCATACTGCTTGCCTAAGCTGAAGCTCTGAACACAAATGTTTCCATCAGATCTGAAAAAGTGGTGAGAAATACCCAGTTGTTTTCAGGTTTTCTCTGCAAACAGGAAAGCTAGCATATTGCTTTAAAAAAGAAAAAAGAAAAGATTCCGGCATAAATTGCTGGACCTTTTGATATCAGTTACAACTATATGGCTTTCTGGTTATCAAGAGCGTATCCGACAGAGAACAGTGAGAGACCTCAGAACAATTCAAAGAAGAGGCAGAACAATGCAAAGAAACCCTTCAAAGAGCCAGAACAGCAATAACGTCTCATTAATTACAGGCACGTGATCATTGTCTACAAAATCAGGCATTTATTAAAGTTCTGTCTGCAAGCTATAACTAGACTGCCATAATGTACAAGCACACGAACCCAAGGTACTAATGGAAGAGTCATTCTTCATGTATTTGCGTGATTGTCAAGGGGGCAGAGGCAGCCAGAAAAAATTCAACGTGCAATTTCCAGCTAAACCAGTAACTATCTTAGCTGGTAGGAACTTACTACATGCTCTTAGACATAGAAAAGATGCCTGTGGGCTAGACAATTATCCCGGTGATTTAAAGCACAGGTAGGTGAACTAAATGGTTGCTATGTCACTGTAAGTCTGCCCTATACCACAAAATTCATACCAAAGACCTAGCCATGTAATTTCAGCAAAGACATGACGGATTTTTAAATCAATTTCTTCCAGGCCTCAAACAGAGGGATTTCTCCAACGCTGTTTTAAATGAAGATACCAGTGGCTGAACCAGGGGTGCCTCAGGCCATACATTCTTTGCCATTGTATGTCTGTTAAGAGTCATTAAGCTGCCTCCAACTTACAGGGAGCCGATGAATGAGGGCTGTGGCTTCCTTTGAGTTACTCCATCTCATGTTAGATCTTCCTCTTTTCTTGCTGCCTTCAACTTTTCCTAGCATTATTGTCTTTTCCACTAACTATTGTCATCTCACAATGTGACCAAAGTACAATAGCCTCAATTTTGTCATTTTAACTTCTAGGGAGAGTTCAGGCTTGATTTGATTGACAGCCCACATTTTGCTTTTTGCATTTTGCTTTTACTAAGGATTTTTGTGGTCCACGACATCCATAAAAATTCTCCTCCAATACCACATTTCAAATGAATCAACTTTCTCCCTGTCAGCTTTCTTCACTGGCCAGTTTTCATAACCAATCATAATAATGGGAAATATTATGGTGAAAATTATAATGATCTTGGTCCCCAGTAACGTTACACTTAAGAATCTTTTCTAGTTCTTTCATGGCTGCCCTTCCCAGTTTCAATCTTCTTCTGATTTCTTGGTTGCAGTCTCTCTTTTGGTTGATGACAAGAAACAGAAAATCTTGAACAATTTCAATTTCTTCATCATCAACCTTAAACTTGTGTAATTAAATTTGTGTAATTCTCCCTCAGTCATTACTTTTGTGTTCTTGATGTTCAGCTGTAATCTTGCTGTAATCTTGCTTTGGCACTTCCTGCTTTAACCTTCATTACTAATCATTTCAAATTGTCATCGTTTTCTTCCAGTAACGTGGTTAGGAATAGGCATGAGCCGAATTACAAACCAAAGTTTGTCACAAACCAGGTCCAGTTTGTGGTTCGTGAACCTCGGTTCATGCAATTGGTTTGCCCACAAACTGAACCCATTTTTGTGGAGGTACATAAGAAGCCAGCTTAGAGCCCCTGAACAGATATTCAGGGAAGGTACCTTTACTGAACATTTACCAGACTTTTGTCCAGTTTGGCTGTTCAGGGCCATTTAAACCTAACAGCTGAGCGGCATGGGTGTGCAGCTGAGCTGTTAAATTTTAATGGCTGCTAGCCATTTCAACCTAATAGCTGACAGGTGCACCTGTCCTGTTGTTAGGCTGAAATGGCTGCAAGCCATTTCACCGGTCGGTCTCACCCCTCCTGCTCCAAAGTGGAGGGAAATGAAATGGATGGGTTAAATGGCTGCCAGTTATTTAACTCTTTCCGGGCAACCCCTCCCTTTCTCCCAGTGTGGAAACTGAACCCACAGGATTGGCTCAGTTTGGTTGGGGGGCCTTTTGGCTCTGTTTGGTCCGGGGGCCACTCCAAACCAAACAGGATTTTTTAGGTTTGTGCCATCACTAATGAGTAGCTCTCCTGTTTCATTTTGTGTTCCTATCCCAAATATTCCAATATTTGATTCTACTTTGTTTCCTATTTTTGCATTCCAGTCACCTATATCAACACATCTTGTTTAGGTGTGTGATCAATTTCTTCCTGGAGACTTACATAAAATCTTTCAAGTTGGTCCTCATCAGCATCTGCATTTGGGGTGTAAATCTGAATGATGGATATGTTGATAAGCTTTCCATGAAGTCTGATTGAAATTATTTGGTCAGACTTTGCATTATAGCCCCCACTGCTTTTGCTGCATCTCACCTCTCTATTAGAGCAATTCTGTTTCTTCTGTGTTTGTCATTTCCCGAATAGAATACTTTGTAATTTACTGACTGAAAATGTCCTAATCTAGTCCAGTTTAGTTCACTCTCTCCCAGGATTGTAATTTTTAAATGGTGCATTTTTTGTTTTACTATTTTGAGTTCACTTTGATTTATACTTTTCACATTCTATGTCCCTATTATATAGGTCAAACAGCTCTGGACTTTCGTCTTGCATCCATTCACGTCAACAACTGAACAACCTTTCAGCTTTAGTCCAGTTCCGTCATTAAGAATAGCGCTATTCATAGTTGTCCTCAGCTCTTCTCCAGTAGCTGACTGAGTGACATCCAACTTGGGGGCTCCCGCTTCCAGCACTATATCTTTTTCTGTTTTGGATTGTCTCATCATAGTGCTTTTGAGGTAAGAGTATCAGAAGTGGTTTAGCATTTGCTTCTTCTGCGCAGTACTAACCAGGGTTAGGAGAAGTGTCACTGTCGTTGTCTACAAAAGATCCTCTGTCAGTGTCACCTTCCACTACTGCTGCTGACCAATAGCTACCCTTCAGGGATTCATCTACCCCCGTCACCACTGGGACTATCTGTTCTCGTCTGCTGTGGCCACTGATTCCTGAAGGGGGTGGATGCATCTTAGTCTGATGTCTCAGCTGTGACCATTCCACCTTGAGTGGCTCTGCTATGAGTCTAAACTATTTAAGATACTGTTCTCAACTTTGCTGACACATACAAACCCCCTCACCATCTTAAGGTGTGCATACATTAAGCTATAGACTTCCCCCTGGCCAGATGGAGTGGAGAACGAAGATAATGGGGAAAAGGCAGTAGAGGAAAAGGGATGGAAGTGGTCAAAAGCTTGTTCTACCCTTGAAGAATGTGAGAGTTAGAAGTTGTTACTTGATGCTTGGCTGTGATATTCTGCAAACCATGGACTACCTTATCCAGGAATTCTGCAAAACTATCCATAAATAACAGAACGACAGAGTTCCAAGGGACTGGCATATTACTGACACAGCCCCCAGAACATTCCAATTTATGTTTAGCAAGTTTTAAAAGTAGCAGTTGTACAACATTCCCAGCTTGCCTAATTGTTCCTCTTTAGAAACCAGCTGATAATTACACAGACTGTTTCCTTTGATGCTAAAAAAGTAAAATATCCTCATGGAATTTTCCACTTCTCCATCTTGATCTCCACCTTCCTTCCCACCCATCTATTCCCAAGAGCTGGATGCTACCAGATAAAGGCAAAGGCTACAAGATGTTCATGAGACTAAAAAGAGACTAAAAAGAAAATCTCAGAGTTTTCTGCTAAAGTTTACACAAGTAAACCTAGATCAGAGTCAAACGCTGAGAAACAACTGGTTTTTCCAGAATCTGGATTTATTTTTAGAATTACTACATTTCAAAAACCTCCTTAAAGCCTAGATGCAGCTGTATGCAAACATTACCTCTGTCAGAAGAAAAATGGAAACATAACCAAATTCACTAAACAAGCATTCAGCACAGACTCGATCATTCAACCATTACATAAACGTGCCCAAACAGAACAGAATGCCATTATAAAACACACCCTTAATGCTTCTGTCCAATGGATAGAGATTTTGGGCAAACAGACCGACTGTAGTGTGTGGTAAATGATGTCACAGATTCCATTACAGTCAGTATTTCTATTCGACTGCATGGTTTAGCTTGGCAGGAACTCCACATAACGGACAGTAAGAAGTGATCAAGAACCCTGTATGGTTAAGTCAAGTCATCTTGAATTGGCTAGTTAAGGCAGCAGTGTTTATGCAGAGGAAACCCCTCCCTATTACAATGTTAACCTGCAAATCCTGTATGAACATATGAAGAGCCTTGCTGGATTAGACCAGTGGTTGATCTAATTTAGCATTCTTTTTCACACAGTGGCCAACCAGTTACTATGGAGGACCAACAACAGGGCACAGAGGCCCAGGCCTTCCCCTAATGATGCCTCCTGGCACTGGTATTCATAGGTTTACTGCCTCTGAATGTGGAGGTTCCCTTTGTCATCATGGCTAGCAGCCACTGGTATACCTGGTCCTCCATGAATCTGTCTAATCTTCTTTTAAAGCTGCCCATGCTTCTGGCCGTTACTACATCCTCTGGCAGCGATTTCCATATTTTAATCACTCACTGTATAAAGTATTGCTTTTGTTTGTCCTGAATCTACTGCCCATCAACTTCACTGCATACCCTTAAGATCTAGTATTTTGAAGAAGAAAATCTTCTCTCTGCCCACTCGTCTATCCCATG